CCCTGATCATGCCAACGGTGAGGAAAACCGTGAGGGGGAACTGATGAATCAACTGAAGGCAGCTGGGACCACAGTTACAAAGAAACATTTGGTAACACACCACGCCGTCATGGATTGAAATCCTGCAGCACACGAAAGGTCCCCCTGCTCAAGAAGAAACATGTACAGGCCCGCATGAAGTTCGCCATTCACCACCTGGACGACTCAGATGAGGCCTGGAAGAAGGTGATGTGGTCAGATGAGACCAAAATAGAACTTTTTGGCCTCAACTCGTCGTGTTTGGAGGGCAAAGAACACCGAGTACAACCAAAGAACACCATCCCCACCGTCAAGCATGGTGGTGGCAACATCATGCTGTGGGGGTGCTTTTCAGCCAAGGGGACGGGACAACTCCATGGTATTGAGGGGAGGATGGACGGGGCCATGTATCGGGGAATTCTGGACCAACATCTCCTTCCCTCAGTGAGAGAGCTGAAGATGGGTGGAGGATGGGTGTTTCAGCACGACAGCGACTCTAAGCACACCGCCATGGCAACAACAGAGTGGCTGAAGAAGAAGCACATCAAGGTTCTGGAGTGGCCTAGCCAGTCTCCAGACCTGAATCCAATTGAAAATCTTTGGAGGGAGCTTAAAATTCCAGTTGCCAGGCGACAACCTGGGAACCTGAATGATTTGGAGGCTGTCTGCAGGGAGGAGTGGGCCAACATCCCTGCCGACATGTTCACAAACCTTTTCACCAACTATAAAAACCGTTTGACATCTGTGCTGGCCAATAATGGCTTTTCTACAAAATATTAACATGCTGTTTGTCCAGGGGGTCAAATACTTCCTCATCAGATGGTTATCAATTTTTATAAATTCATATGATGTGATTTTCTGGAATTTTCTTTGGGATTCTATCTCTCACTGTTAGATGTACATATGATTAAAATTATAGATCGTTGCATTCTCTGTAAGTGGGCAAACCTGCAAAATCAGCAAGGGGTCAAATACTTATTTCCCCCACTGTACGTCCGTGTCGTACCAACCAGCGAGTCAGACCAATGACAGGCCAGCAGTGGTTTTTGGGGCGGGACATGTAGGAATGATGACAGTCAGAAGGGCCTTGTATTACAAATATGGCTGCGCTGGAGGACTCACCTGTTGTGACGGCAACCGACTCAGTTTTGGCTAAAATAGCGACAATTTCTCGTTTTAAAAAAGGAGCAAGAGAAGCACTTTGTTTATTTGTTGATGGGAAAGAGTCAGTGCTTTTCTTCCGACAGAATTTGGAAAAAGTTTGATTTATCAGCTTACGAAACATCATGATTTGCTGTTACGATTGGCTGAAAGCGCATTATGGAAGCAGGGTACTAGCTGGCACGTCATCCAATCAGCTCATAGCACTGTAAGAAACGTCCCTCCTTATGAAAGACAGACTGAACGGCAGCCATCCCAGATAGATCACCTTGAACTCAACTCTACACACATCAGTCTGGCTGGTGCCGGGTTACCAAGAACAGTGGAATCCGCTTATAGTGGTCACGTTGGTCCAGATCCAATTTGAACAGTACAAGCGGTTAATTACTAATTAACTGAATTTAACGTTATTTCACTTATTTTTTATGCAGAATATCATCTAAATGCCATTGGTATGGTTTTTCAATGAGAAAAATTTAATGAAACGGATAGCTTCGCATTTACTGAATTTTATTACAGTACCATGCAAGTTTAATTACAGAATACTGCACAATGAGCAGACACAATTCTGGTAGCCAACATAACTTATTATGTGCTGTGCTTCGGCTCTGCTGTGCTACTGGTGAGTTTTTTTAACAAGTCTGAAAATAAAGTTTGAAACAAACGGTTTCATAGAACAACAACATAAAAGATAACTGCATAGGCTACAGAAAATTAAAGCTAGCCTACGTCCATTTTGTGTTGCGGATCTGCTGCGCCGCATTAAAGAAATCACTCATCCATTGTTGGTTGGACCCAGTTTACTTCTTTTTCAAAACAATGTAAAAGGTCAAAGTTTTTGAAACCAACATGCATGAGACCAGTATAGTGTATACTGAGATTCCGTCTGTCAGTTGGGTAGGTGGGTGTTTCTGCTGGTGGGTGTTAACGTACAGCACACACAGAGAGATGGAGAGTGAGGAGGACTCCAGCAGCAAAACAGCGTTTTCCTGATGGAAATACCGGTGTTACATCGAGCTGTGTTTCCCCATCATATACGGTTTCCCCTGCATCTCCGCACAGCGCAGGCAGCACGATTCACCGCGCAAGCGACAGGAAACGCACATGCTCGCTAAAGGCGCGCAACAGTCGCCCTGTGCTCGCGCCACAGGAGAACTATGGAGAGCGTGAAGGATCAAATGATAGCCTAGATGGAGAAAGGGAGAAATCTGGATGGATGGATGGATGGATGGATGGATGGATGGATGGATGGATGGATGGATGGATGGATGGATGGATGGATGGATGGATGGATGGATGATAATGCAAGTTACTTTTACTAGTAACTAGTTACTTTTATTATGGAGTAACTCAGTTAGTAACTCAGTTACTTTCTGGGAGTAGTAACCAGTAACTATACTAATTACTTTGGGAACCCCTGCTCTATGGACTACACAATGACTCAATGTTGCGTTGGTCAGGTTAGCTACTAAGTCAGTTTAAAATATCAGTTTCATAATCATGATTAGTTTTAAAATAATAATAAAAGCCCATTTTAAAGTAATTGCTCTCCCACAGAGCGCCATGACACTGTTTCTGCTCCCAGTGTAAATAATGAATGACCTCTAACAGCAGGAAGGCTACAGAGAAACAAATGCTGTTCTGGCATTCGGCTTTCTTTTACCAGTTGAAGAGGAAATGGAAAAGAACCAAAATCTGAATCTGCAGCTAAAGATCAGTGCACTTCTAGCTGAAAAGGTCATTAGAGTCTCTATTCCTCCTCTTTAAACTACAGGAAACATTACTGCATTAATCATACATTTCACCTGCTTCATTTTTATTTATTTTATGGAGATGTTTCTTCTATCATGCATCAGTTAAATATATATTTACTGGTTTTATTTTACCATACTAGTGTTGTCAAAACAATTGATACTGAAACGCTGCTTCCTGATACGGTACTAATTCTGCATGATTTCGACACAAAATACAGATTTGATTTGTACAATTTTCTATCAGTAATCTATAGATTACTGATAAATTAACAGAATAATACCACAAACTACCATGAAATATTGTGTGCTGCCTTTGGGTGAGTTTTAATCATCTGGTGCTTTTTATCTTCTTGATGTTGAAAATCGATATCAAGTTTGTAATTTTAGCGTCATGACAACATTTTACCATACATGCCGCTAAATTATGAAAGTAACAGGATTATATTTTTATATTGCTAGATAAGATCAAAATAAAACAAATGGAGAACAGTGCAGCTTTTTGATTTAACGTTTCCATAAAATTTTAAATATCAAAATAAACAGATAACAATTTATTTTTTAAACTTCCTTTGGGCTCTGAGATAACTATGATTTTATGAGGCACAGGCAGCAAGAAAAGAAGCAGAAAGACGGTCCAGTAAAGAAAATTCAGCAGCTGAGAGCTTTTTTAGAGCTACATCTTCTATCAGTCTACAAATTACTGTTATTGGGGAGGCTAATATGTAGGTTAATGCTTGTTAATTGTTTATAAACACAGAATTATTTAAATTTTTTTATTTAAATGGATGTAAAAAATAATTAATTTAAGAGAATAATATGAAAGACAAAACCACAAAAAAACGTTGAGTAGAAAGTTTCCAGTGATATAAAACGGTGCTCTGGCTGCTCAAGATTGAAAAAAGTATTAAAGGAAAACACAGTTTTTTTTAGATTGGCCCTCTATTTTACGTTATTCCATCATGTTCTACTCACACATATGAGTTTTGTGTCATCTGGAGCTGTTCTGAAGATATTGCATTAGGTTATATCCAAATAATGTCTTCCTATGGGCAATCCGTGGATGTCTGGGGGACAGTGATTCTCCTACATGTTGTGAATGCTGGCGTACCATAAATGATAAATGATGAACAGTTTAGTTTGTGCCTTCAACTCGTTGCCCATAGGAAGACGTTACTTGGTTATAACCTAACGGAATATCTTCAGAACAGCTCCAAATGACACAAAACTCATATGGGTGAGTAGAACATGATGGAATAACCGGATGTAAAATCAAGGGGCCAATGTAAAAAAACAAAAAAAATGGTGTTTCCCTTTAAGGTTAAGGTTGTATTTCTGTCTCATCTAAGCAAAGAAAAAACCAGTTACCCCCTGCACACCAGCAGACCTTCCTCCCATTCCCCCAACTTCTCAGTCCTCCTCATCCTCAGACTTATTCCACCAATCAGATCCTAAACCTAAATGATACATTATCCACGCTCATGTCATCTCACAGCATCCAGTCTACTGCCGGAGTCCAAGTGCCAAAGAACATATGAACTATTTCAAGTCTCTCTAGGTTGTATTCGTTATAGTGCTCATATTAAAATTAAATGTTATAAATGAAATAAAAATAAAATAAATGTATTCCATATATAGATATATGTTTATATTATATTATTGGTAACATAGTGAAAAATAGCTTTTTTTTGTGGTGGTTTTATTTATTAAGAATGACAGAATGATAAATGTCCTCAGAGTGGTATGGAAAAAATGTTACTCTTACAGTTAATGTTGAATTTTATTTTATCTGCTGCATGTGTTTTCTTATGCGCTGAATTTACTAGATGTGCGCAGTTTAGAGGAAACATAATGATTGTGATGTGTTTTTATTTTCCAACCTGTCACTTGAATTTGTTTATATTTCATGTTGAGCTGGTGCATCAATATTAAGCTTTATTGGTGCATCAATATTAGGCTGGATTTGTTGAAATGCGTGGATGATGTAAATGAAGCAAACAGGTGGATATTTATTTGGTGTTGTTGTTTGTTTTGCTGTGGATCCTCGTGGTGTCCGTGGGTCAGACTCACCCACTCCTCATAATGCTTGCTGCCGCTCTGCAGGATGTCCTCAAACTGGATGATGCAGTTCGCTACGAAGTCGTCGTATCCAATCGGCGCGTCGTGGAAGACAGACAGCTCTATCCTGCGGCCGTCGATCACCTCCGTGGAGAACTCGTCGTTCCACGTGGGGCTGTTGGTCTTCTGCTTGGTGGAGGTCTGCCCCACGCGCGAGTCGTCCACGTTCAGGGCTATGTAGGGGTCCAGGAGGAAGGTCTGAGTCTTGGGACCCACGGCGTGACGCAGGGACCAAGCCGTGGGCTTCAGGTCCAGCGCCTCGCAGATCCGGACCCTCAGCTGTCCGTTGAAGACCACCATGGCGCTCTGGAGCCCACCTGCTGCCAGACGCCAGCGCTTCACTAAACTAGCAGGGTTTCTCCTCCTCCGGTGGGAGATGGAGGAACGCGCCTCAGAAGCGACCGTTAATCCGGGGAAGCGCTTCTTCAGAGAAACAGCTGGAAATGAGGCGGATTTATCCGAAAAGCTCCGAGCGGAGGCGCCCAGATGTGCGCCGCTGTGTCATTCCTCCAACCCTCCTTCCAGTAGAATCAGTCATGGAGGAGAAGGTGAGGAGCTGCACTGCACCGGCACCGCTGGCCGGAGCTGCAGCGAGCAGACAGCGGCCGCTGCAGGGGCGTGGAGGCGGGGCGCGCCCGGAGGGGGGGGAGGCTCACTTCATCTCTGAATGCGTGGAGAGCAGAAAGGCGGAAAGCAACAGATTGATGGGGAGCAGAGTGAGATGCTGCTGTGAGTCAGCTGCTCCAAGGTCAGGAAAATATGAGGTCCAGCTGCCAAGAGGATGGATGCAGGGATATGAGAGGAAACCAGAACATCAATGTCTGATCCAAAACAACCTGCTAAGAACTCAGCACCAATGACAGCTAATGCTGGGTTCTTTCAAATAGAAAAAAAATAAATTATTGATATAGATTTAGTTAAAACCAAGGGCGGTTTAGACAGGGGCCAGTACACACGTTCCTTAAAAATAGAAATACAGTTATATTTGTTGTTGAAATAAGTGTATTTCCATTTCCCCATACTATTGATTTATCATAATATAAAGCCTTGGCTGCTCAGTGCTGTCCCTTGTAGCCAGAAGGTTCCAGGTTTGATTCCCGGCCCGGGGTCTTTCTGCATTGAGTTAGCATGTTCTCCCTGACCATGCATGGGTTTTCTCCGGGTACTCCGGCTTCCTCCCACAGTCCAAAAACAGGACTGTTAGGTTAATTGGCTTCTCTAAATTCTCCTTAGGCGTGAGTGACTGTGTGAATGGTTGCTTGTCCTGTTTGTCTCTGTGTTGCCCTGCAATGGACTGGAGACCTGTCCAGGGTGGACCCCGCCTCTCTGTCCAGGTTGGACCCCGCCTCTCTGTCCAGGTTGGACCCCGCCTCTCTGTCCAGGTTGGACCCCGCCTCTCTGTCCAGGGTGGACCCCGCGTCTCTGTCCAGGTTGGACCCCGCCTCTCTGTCCAGGGTGGACCCCGCGTCTCTGTCCAGGGTGGACCCCGCCTCTCTGTCCAGGGTGGACCCCGCCTCTCTGTCCAGGGTGGACCCCCCCTCTCTGTCCAGGTTGGACCCCGCGTCTCTGTCCAGGGTGGACCCCGCCTCTCTGTCCAGGTTGGACCCCGCGTCTCTGTCCAGGGTGGACCCCGCCTCTCTGTCCAGGTTGGACCCCGCGTCTCTGTCCAGGGTGGACCCCGCCTCTCTGTCCAGGTTGGACCCCGCGTCTCTGTCCAGGGTGGACCCCGCCTCTCTGTCCAGGTTGGACCCCGCGTCTCTGTCCAGGGTGGACCCCGCCTCTCTGTCCAGGTTGGACCCCGCGTCTCTGTCCAGGGTGGACCCCGCCTCTCTGTCCAGGTTGGACCCCGCGTCTCTGTCCAGGGTGGACCCCGCCTCTCTGTCCAGGTTGGACCCCGCGTCTCTGTCCAGGGTGGACCCCGCCTCTCTGTCCAGGTTGGACCCCGCGTCTCTGTCCAGGGTGGACCCCGCCTCTCACCCACTGACAGCTGAAAATAGGGACCAGCACCCCTCGCCACCCCAGCAGGGATGCAGCATGATGGAAAATGGATGGATGGAATATCTAGCCTATTTTATCTACAAGAGGAAAAACATACTAATTCCTTTGTCAGATCATCATAATTGCAGCTTTAAGGGCATCAACATTATTTCAAAAAATGAAATGTTTTAGGTCACTTTTTTGTATAGTAAAACTAAATATATTTATTATAATGAAATGTGCTCACAGGGATCCACAGACTATGAGACTGGATTTTTTATTATTTGAAGTTGGAGTTTCTAGACACAAAGGGTTCACTAATAGATAATTTGCCACATCCAACATTGTTTTTTAGAAAAATAGAAATCTAAAACACAGCTTGGCATATGTCAGTGTATCAATGGAAGATTGAAGATCTTACAGAAAAGAAGAAAAAAAGCTACAGATTAAAGAGAACAGATTATTTACCATTTTATCAGATAAACTATTATTGGTGCTAAATCAGTGAAAGGTTTTTGGAGTGTTTTCAGATTATATTTTTCCCTTGTTAAGGCAAACCTGCTCTATTTCTTTTCCGTAGTGTAACAGTTATCAGGTTTGCCTCTCACGCCAAAGGTCCGTAGTTTGGAACCAGGCAGAAACACCATGTGTTATGGAAAGCTCTGTGTGATTCTACACCTTTAAGCTTTCTCTCTCTTAGGTTCTTTTCCTGAAAAGAGATTGATCAGGAAAACTCTTTAAATAACACTTCATAATTTATATGTATTAAATAACCAGGAGACATGACAACAGATTCTGATAGAAATTGTAATCTTAGTCAGATCAGAGAAATTGCTTAGAATTACAGAAGGCAGCTGCTCACCATCCGGGCTCACTTCTCAGGAAGTGTCCCGATAAAAAGTTAAAGAAGCCTTTTATACATGTCCAGTCTGACACATCATCATATTTTACAACATACACCTTAGCAGATGAGGAGACATCCATGGCTCCAGCCTTATCAAAATATTACACTTTGTTCTTAGCTGAAGGACGGCACTCTCATTCCATTCCCAAAAATTAGCCACGTACAGAATGAAGATGAGTTTTTATCCTAACTGTCCCAATTAGATTAACTAAATGGGAAAATATCAGTTCTACACGAAACCTGCAGCTAATAATAGGGTTTAACAGACTCACACATCATCAATAATGATAAGCCTAACAATAAAACCGACCAAAATAATGTCATTATTTCTGCTAACAATAAAGTAACTAAGCAATTGTTACTGTTATATTTTGTGAGGTAATTGAAAATTTTTTTTTAGTAATATTTTGCAATTATAGCTTACTTATATTTGAGTTAACCTCTGCATATCCCCACCTGCTGTACAGGAGGGATACAGTATTTGGGGGCCAATCAGATTTCAGAGAGGTCCAGCTCTTTCTTTAGCACCGCCTCCATGTTGAGTTAAATCCAAATAATCAATTACAATAATCCAAATCTATTCAACAACTCCTGAGTGGAAAAAAGTACAAATCCAATGATCCACATGAATTTTTCATTTTCAGTCATTAACAAATTATTTAAACTATGTTTCTCAAGAACTTTTAGATCATTATTTGCACACAAAAAAAAAAAAATCTATGCTGAACCTTTTTTTGTAAGAATGGTAAATATTAAATGTTCTCTGTGAGGACAACGCTGAACTTTGGAAAAAAATATTTTCTACATGATTTTTTTTTTTCTTTTTACACTATTTTAGGCTGTGCATATTTAGACAAAGAAAAAAGGGGTGCTTTACAAAACACACAGCAAATAAAGTGCAGAATTGACATATTTAAATATTTGTAAAGTAGAAAAAAAAACATAAATTAGTTTAGAAAAAGTAGTATTTCTCATGGCTACACCTAATTGGAAAAGTTAGCTTTCCTGTTTTTGTGTAAACCATCTGCAGGATGTATGACCTTCATTGAATGTGTAGCATTCTTAGAGTTGGTCTAGATTACAGTGACACAGAAGCAACATGGTATATTCACTTTAATTGGATTTTCTGCATTCCAATGCAGAAATACGTTCCTAACATAAAAAACATCCGTTCTTCCATATATTAGGCTGTTCTTCCTGGAACCACAACATAAAACTCAGCTCATTGCTTTCTGTTCTTACTGCTGTTGGCCCTTGAAGACACTTTGCTGGAACATCTTACGATCCAAGAAGATTTTGTTTGTTGAATCATATGATTTAAAAAGTGACACATAAGGATCAGATTCAGGACATGTGATTGAATTAACTTCATAAAAGGAAAGAAGAGAAGGACATTTTAAAACCAGCCAGAAAGAATTTGCTACAGTTAAAGTCAGTTTTCCTCACATTATGTATTATATACATGCATCATAACTAAAAAGCCAGATTATAAAAAAGAAAAACAATATTTTTTTACTCTCTGATGAAGCTAAGTCATTTAAGCAGATTTTCCGCGCATTTAATAGCTGGATAGTGCTGCCCCCTGCTGCTAACTTACTGTAACTTCCACCAAAGCAGTTGTCTCAATATCCTAGTTTATAGGTCAATATTGCCCTGCGATGGACTGGTGACCTGTCCAGAGTGTACTTGTAGACAGCTGGAGGCACCAGCACCCCTCATGACCCCTCTGGGGATAAAGCATGTCAGAAAATGGATAGATGGATGGATAGGTCATTATGAGGGTAAAGATGTTTCAAATAATTGCTTGTTGAGCTCTTGGCAAAATGCTGTGGCTGCTTTCCCAAAACTGTTCAATATGTATCATATTAATAAAGCGCTCATCAATAGGATATTTTTTTGCTAAAAATTGATTTCATTAGAGTATAACGTTCCAAGAGCCTTTCATTCAAACCATGACAGCAGCAGATCTGTATGGTTTACATACTTTCTCCACATTTTCTGACCTTTTTTCACATAAAACAAAGATGAGTGATGAAAAACAACCAACTTCCTCCTCAGGTTTAGTTAAAGAGGAGATTAGAACTGTTTCTCTCTCCTGGAAATTTAGGGTAAGTTTCTTCAGGGCCTGAATGGTTGCTTACAGAAATTATTGCAGCTTTTCAACCATGAAATCTGAATTTTTTCTGCCTCCTTAGACTATATTAGATATTTTGTTAGCAGAACTAGTCTATGTTGCCTTAACCAGTCTGATAAATGCATTATAGGGTCTAATGAGAAGGGGGTAAAAAAGCCCAGGCTCCAAAGCTTGATCAAGTTCCTTCATAAAAACACGCCTTTGCAAATTCTCAGTCATCAGTGTCATGGGAACCACAAGACAGGCTTAAAATGGAGGCATCCAGTCTCTGATTCAGTGTTTGACACCTAATCGTCATCGTCAATTCTGCGAGCTTGAGTTAGAGGATGCAGGGTAGAGTACAGCCTAACTACTTATAGAGCTTTTACATAATAGTCGAGTGGACATGGTTGGGTGCCGATACTTCTTCTGATTAAGATCCCTCCCATTCTTCTACTACTGCATTAAATGGCATCTACTGCCATAAAAGCTCAGGTGGCCTACTTCCCAAACTGGAATAGTTGACCAAAGTTTGTGGGACCCCCCAGAACTCTGTTTGCAGTTGATCGAAAAGTTACCACCAGACATAACAGCAACACCAAACCTTAATGACTGGTTTGGTATGAGGGATTGCTGTTGAGTCA